CTATGGCCCATCAGGTGGACAATTTGCCTGGTCTGTCCATGCTGCATGCTTGGGTTCATGCTCAGGAGCAAATGAGCACTCAGTTTTCTTGCAAGGCTTTCATTCGGCTTTATGCCATCTCCCCAAAACCTGCTAGCCCAGTAAAATCATTGTAAATCTTCCTCAAGCTACAAAATGACCAGGTTTCCTGAAAATTACTTACCCTTTGGCTCATAGTTCATGTGACTTTTTTGAAATGAGAAATCATTTGTTAACAACAAATTAAGATAACGTGTTTGGAGTGCAGAAGAGTGATTTAGTCAAGTTACTTCTGAATGAAAGTCATGAGGGGTTCTAGAGCATGCTATCAGGACAAAAATTGGGAAGAGTTTTCACAAATATGAAGGCACTGAATTCATTAACTCTTTAAGCTCACGTAACAGCACCAGAGTGACCTTGAGGGTCAAGTCATATAAGGAAACTAACTATACTGCCTGAATTAATCTCGCAGAAATACATTCCTCACAGATCTTGTCCTGTCACAACCCATGCAACTTTACCACTAACAGAGAGGGGGGAAAAAAAAAAAAACCACCAACACAGTACCAGGCATTCTCAATGCCACATTTGGCCTCAGAACTTTTGACCTCTTATAAGGCCAAAGCAGACTCACTTGAGATATCATGTCCTAACCACTGCCTAACAGGCTGCTTCTGCCAGAGAAGCTGGTTTGTTTGGAGTTTTTTTTAATATTCTTGTGAAATAGCTTTATTTTCACAGAATCATAGAATTGTTAAGGTTGGAAAAGACCTTTAAGATCATCAAGTCCAACCATCAACCCAACACCACCAAGCCCACTAAACCATGTCCTGAAGTGCCGCATCTACACGTTTTTTGAACACTTCCAGTGATGGTGTCACATATTCCTAAAAGACCAACTCAGATTCACACAGCTTGTTTATACTCTTTACATCAACAGCTAGAAGACATCTTAGAGAGCATGTGTCACCCTACTTCTCTATATGGGGAAAACACACCCTACAATATGATCAATATGATGAGAAGAATAATCTGGTAGGCCTACTTTAGTCAATTCACTTTAGTCAATGGATCCTTTCTTATACCCATTAACATGGGAACATTCTCTAGTGACACTGGTTAAGCAGAAAGGGAAAAAATACTGCTGCATAACACAACAAGACATCTTGTGGTATGCTACTGTATCACTTTTACTAGCTGTTTCTTGGAGGTGTAAGTAGTTGTGCATGAAGGACAGAAGGTTAATACTAATCTTGTTGTTTGACGCACTCTTGTCAGAGGCATGGATTTATCCCAACAGGGAGATCCATCCCGCTTCAGATTTAAACAGCTCTCACAATGAATCTGAGCTCAACACCAGTTACGTAATAATTACTTCTACACCAACGTAACAACTTTGCAGGTAGAAATGCTGTTAGCATTTCAAGCTAAGAAGGTAACAAAGAGAGCAGAACTGAAACATGGTGGGAAAAAACGATTCCACTTTTGCTCTTTGCTGTGAAATATATAGCAGAAAAATCAATACATTCTTTTCAGAAGAATTTGTTTACTCGTTAGCATCTAGAAGGTGAGGATCATCACACTCACAACAAGTCTAACTTTCAGTTGATTTGGTTTGATTTTTCTCATTTCATCTCTGAGCTTCAGACTCTCCATTTGCTAACACTTTCCTGTCTCTTAGTTTGCATTATGCGGACTGTGCTATTAGTATTTGTGAAGTAGTCACAGACTGTGGAGTTTGAAGAAGCACGGAGTATTTGCATGTTTGCTGTACACATCACATAACGTGTCTAGAAGAATCAGCAATAGACAGGCTCAAATGAATTCCCCATTTCGGTCCTGGTGTTGTCACTGAACTGCCACACCATCAGTAACTAACTCTCATGCATGCAGCTTTCAGCCCTCAACACAGGTGCCCACACGTCAGGTGCAAGTGTGCACGTGCTGCTACAACTTGAATACTTGCATCCTGCAGACATTGGACTTTCTAGCTACTTGTGCAATTCCCGAATTTATCCATGCACATGTGACAGAGATAAATGGACACTGGTTCAACACTTGTGCCTAAGTAGTTAAATTTCAGTCAATGTGATTAATAGAAATATCTCTATACGTCTCCCCGCAAATGATGAATGCTCTAATTATGCCTCAATACATGCAAGACAAGTAGGCAAATGTAAAAGAGAAAAACCCACGAACTTTTCTGTTTTTAAGTGAAATACATTGCTTTTACAGAAACCAGAGATTCTCCACTTATCTCCTTCATTCATTACAAGCTTTATTTACTTGTTTGTTTTCAGGAACTGTCTTCCCTAAACACATCTGTGTTATTTCAAAAATGGAATACATATAGTGAGTGGTTATCCTACATGTATATTTTGACATAAGGAGCTGCTAACTACTTGAAAAGTAGTTACTGAGAATGAATAGTAAACACCTCTCGGGTTCTTGTTACTTATTTTACAAATTTACTGATGCCAATTCTCTGACAATCTTTTTAATTTTTTCCACCATACTGTAAATGTGAATACAGAATGTTAAAAAAAGACACAAATACATGTGAAAAAGCAAAGCAGACTCAAATACAATTCTTCAGAGATCCTACGAGATCAAAATGATGCCATAAGGTCCAGCAGGACAAAACTGTGAATAAGAGCAAGCAGAAATAACAGTAAAAACACAGGTAAAATAATACCATATATTCGAATTCACATACACAGTTATTTCAAATACACCAAAGAGATGAGAAATCTGGAAAGCTCCAGGTTAATGATCTGGAGCACTCTGAACTAAGGTGCCACCTACCAGCACATCTCACAAGTATGAAATAGTTTAACCTCACTACCTCAAAGGAAACAGTAATCTTACATGCCTTAAGTTTAAAGGCTTAGGAATGATGAAGACAAATTCAGAGCTACAGCTGAGAATGACATCTTCCTTGCTTCCACAGGTGTTTTGTGTGTTTACTACTTGTCGTTCAGATGTTTTGCATATTTACCTCTTACACAGTACACAGAGAAATCCAAATCCACCAAAAAAATCCACCCCTATACAATACCAACATCCTGCCAAACTCTACCTTCAGATACATGCCTTTGACCTCATCTATTTAAATCACAGCTTCACCATGCATTTGAGAACATTATACAGGCAACTATGAAATGACTCTATTGAGCAGGTTAAACATCTAAATGAGAAAAATGAGGTTAGAGAGGCATACAAAGAGAATTTGCAGAAAGTTGTTCTGAGGCATGAAAGGAAGCTCTTCACAGGTCTGAAAGGAGTCACCTCTTGGCTAATTGATTTGTCAGTCTGCAGTTCCCCATGTTAAAGGGCCTTCTCCTCTCTGCATTACCTCCTAAGGGCTATTCTCCTTCTAGAAAATTCATGATTTCATAACATGCAGCAAGTTTCTCTCTCATGTATACCATGGTCTCAGGCAGCAAAAGCAGCTTTGTTCGGTTGCCTGATGTTTCACCCACATGCACAGAAGTCAGGGATTAGATTTGCCCTTCCAAAATTTAATGCAAGAGAGACCAGATATGTTGTAATTCCTGTTAATTTCTTCAAAAATCTCTTTCTTTCCCCACCACTACCACTAATGCACTGCCAACATCTCCAAAATTATTTGAGTCAAGAGGTTTAAATTCTTTCCACAGAGAAAAAAGGGACAGTCTGCTACTAGGTAAATAAAAACACCAAGCACTGATTTTATTTAAAGCTGCAAAAAAGAACAAATAGTGGATTCTGTATCATAGCTGATAAAGAGCTTTGTTGCTCTGTCCTAATTTCTGAGTAGTCCTTGTGGTACCTATAGAGCAGCTCTTATCAGATTTTTTGTACCAAAAAGTTTTTCTATATACAGTATATCTGCTGCCTACCTTTAAAAAGAAACATGTGAACTGTTCTCCCAGGTGCTGAAAGTGTGTATATAGGACCATTCAAATTTTTGTTTGTAGAGAACTGACTAAATACCGCAAGATTTATAGTTGCAATTTACTGAAAAGTTTTATAAACTGCTTTTAAAGCAGTCCTGATCACTTACATACATTAAAAAGTCTTTTAATAAAAGCAGGATCATTTAAGCCCAGTCCACAAATGTCTTTTATTCTTTCATCCTGTCTTCCAACTCTTACACTATATTTTAACAGCTTGTCAAAAATGCCATCTCCTTCACATCACCAGTATTATTGGAAAAAAAATCTAGGGAAATACCTTTTACAAAGTAGTTCAAAAACTTACTATGATGGCCAAAAGATTAAATATTACAGCCTGACATACAAGGGCATTTAAAACAAAACAAACAAAAAAAAAAACAAAACACCACAATACAGGAAGGAATGTAGTCTACGTTAATTCATCAGTTTAGTTTTTAAATAAGTACATCATAACTACAAATAACAGCAAGCTCTAGAAAACACTGAGAAACAAAAAGGAAAATAATGCCCCATTGCATTTGTTCCTGTGATGGAATAATACATCAACACAAGTACCTCAGCTACGCTCTTCTAAGAAATGTCTCTTCTGTATCATAGGAAAACCATGTTAGTAAAGTACCTGGCCCACAGAAGTACTTCAGGAAGGACTGCAAATCATCATTTCTGTATTCGAGCCTCTGTACACCTTCACACTTACCTTTCTCACATATGTCAGCAGAATTCCTACGTCCTAAATTAATGCCTCTTACAAAGATGTTGTTCTCTAAAAGACATTTTAGAAGGGAGGTGCTATTGTCGGAAAAATGGTATTTTAAAAATTGTAATGACAGCATGACCACAGTATGCCAAGGCACAACTGCAACAATGAATTACGCCCACAGATCTGTAATCTTCAATCTGCATTTAGCAACGCAAAAAGAGTCCTTGTGATATTCACTATCCTGAAACTGAACTTCACAATGAAATTCATTCATCAACAATTTGCTTAATACTATGTTTGTGAGTAGGCTGTTAAGGGGACAGGTCTCTGAATATTTTGTTTACCTTCACAATACGCAGAATCCCCTTGGACAGAGAGATAACCGTTCTTGCATTCACAAGTAGCTTTGGTGTTCCAGTTTTTGCACTCTGAATTTTCACCACATCTGTGTCCCTCTGCACAGAAGTTGTGGCCTGAAATACAAGCAACATGAAACCTGGTATTAAAACATGTTTATTTCAGATATTCAGGTTTAATATTTACATTGACTGTATTACTCTAAACTTTGGCATGCTACATTCCAGAAATTTTCTCTATAAACCTATCTGGTGCACACAGGCTTTTTGGACACCTCTATCAATTCCTTCTCAGTAAAACCATCTTGATCCAAAATGTATTTGTATGACTAGTTTTAGTCAGGAGAAAAGACGACTTCAAAGCATGAAGTCATGACAATACATTAGTCTTCTACTGAAACCATGTAGGATGAAGTGCCACCTCATCTCCAGTTGCAAGAAGTGTAATACTAAATGACACCAAAAATATAATAAAGTGTAATATCAAAAAAAACCCTTCACAATTCTCTTATTATGCATAATCAGGCATGCTTTTAGAAGAGCAAAAAGGAGATGTTGCATTAGAACACAAAATTGTACCAGTAGTCAACCAACTTCATACACTGCCTTGTAATTCTGTCATCAAAAAACAGCTGGATTGTTTCTACAGTTTATAATTAATCCACACATCATGTTTTATAAGGGAGAATTTTTATTAATCCCTCCTTTTTCCTTGACACAAATTCTAAGTAGTTTCTTTACAAACAGTTTCTTTTATCACATATAAGGTAATTTCTAAAAACATGACGAACTTTTCCACTTCCTTCTATAAAGGCATAACTTTCTCAGAAGATGTGTCAAAAACTCTCTCTAAAGTGAAAGTAATTGTAACTATCTCTTTAAAGGCACTCCACTGGAAGTACTGTAAGAGATAACTAAATACCTTACAGAATTTGACAACAGGAATTTTTTTCCCCTATTGGTGTATTTTTGATGTATTTTTCTCTATTAATATCCAAGAGACAATTTCTATGTGCCTGAGATATATAAACAGTCATTTTGATAATTATTATTTTTTCTGGATTTTCTCTCCTGGAAGAAAGAATCCAGAAATCCAGACATACCATCAGCTACTTGTATGCTAACTTGTGCTTACATGAATACAAGAACGGTTTCTGCCGATTCTGCCTGGTCATAAAGGGGCAAACTAAAAGTTCTAGTACACTGACCCTAAACTTTCCTAACATCCCCTAAAGACAGCTAAGAAAAAAACAACCTGGACTTCTAAGATCTAAACACCAGATTCAGATCTTTGTTCATACCCCTTGCTTTGATATTCTTTGAAGAACTTTGGAAGACTTTAGGTTATACTAAATATAGTTTTCATCTACAGTAAGCAAATTTTCATAGGGCTATCCTGAAGCTGTTGTTTGTTGGGGGGTTTCTTGTTCATTTTTAAACACACACTTCAGTCATCTACTAATTTAAAACTCAGGTTTTGTCATTTTGTTGAAGGCATGCAAGGAATTAAGCTGGGGGTATTGTTTAGTCTCTGCAAGCAGTTAACAAGGTGCAACCTGAAGAGAAGGAACAAGATAATCAGAAAAGAAACACAACTACCGAACCTTGAGTGAATTACCCTAATTAACATAATTAACATATAATATGCATAATAAAAACCTGCCCCTGAGTAGGGAAA